TAGAATAATTACAAAATTAAAGCTACCCCAGACAGGCAGTAAAATTTGTGTTGGACACCGATGCCAGCAACAGTGCAATAGGAGCTGTTAACTCAAAAATCCAAGATGGAGAGGAGAAAGTCATAGCTTACTTTAGCAAAGGCTGCCCAAAATTATTGCGTTATCAGGAGAGAATTGCTTGCAAGCATTTCCATAAATACATGTTTGCAATTTGCAGTGTAAATTGTAAGACCAAAACGACACCCCTGCATCCTCAATCAGATGGAATTATGGAACACCTATTTAAAGTTGTATCCGAACATCAAAGAGGTTGGGACCAGCACATTCATTTATTGCTAATAGTCTACCGCTCGGCCGTGAATGAAACTACAGGCCGGACTCCAACCTGCCTAATGTTGGGTTGTAAAGTTCGTTTGCCGTGCGACCTAGAGTTTGGCTGCAGATCTTCCGAGGAACATGTTGCAAGCGAAGAATATGTCGATCGCCTGAAGTTAAGAATGAACAACATTCATAAACTTACCCGACAATACATCCAGTTAGCCAGTGACAGAATGAAAGATCGATATAATTCTCAATGCAAAAATAAAAGCTTTTAAGTTGGTGATCTTGTTTGGCTTTATAATCCACAATGTCGTCGGGGCTTGTCTCCTAAACTGCAAAGACAATGGGAAGGTCCAGATAAAATTAAAAAGAGAATAAATGGCGTAATTCACTTGTCTCAAAAATGAACTAATGGCTAATACACTAAAATTTACCATATGGAATGCTAATGGCTTGACACAACACAAACACGAGTTGTATGCATTTATAGTTAATCATCAATTAGACATAATACTGATTTCAGAAACACACTTCACGAAAAAAAGTTTCATAAAATTTCACAACTACAAAGTATATCACACAACACATCCAGATGGAACTGCACATGGTGGGACAGCAATCATTATAAGAAACAACATCAAACATTACCAGACAACTCACTATCAAAAAGCACATATTCAGGCCACAAATGTAGTTGTAGAAGACTGGACAGGACCTATAACTTTTTCAGCTGTATATTGTCCACCAAAACATTCAATTAAACAACCAGAATTTAAAACCTTTTTTGATACACTTGGACCTAGGTTTATTTGTGGCGGAGACTACAATTCAAAGCATTTAATGTGGGGCTCTAGACTTATTAATACCAAAGGCCGGGAACTATAAAAAGAAATACACATGGATAATCTAAACATAGTAACCACAAGGGAACCAACATACTGGCCTACAGACCCTGCAAAAATTCCAGATCTTCTCGACTTTGCTATAGTGAGAGGAATAAATGAAAAATACTTTAAACCAAAGTCTTGTTACGATTTATCCTCTGACCATTCACCTGTTATCATAACTGTAAGCAAAAACATAACAAAAATAGAAAGGAGCTGTATACTACACAACAACAAAACAAATTGGAGTTATTTTCGATATCAAGTAGACAATCAAATCAATTTAGACATCCCACTAAAGACAGATAAACAAATCGAACACCCAGTAGAACATTTTAACACAGTTTTACAGGAAGCAGCATGGAACTCCACACCATTACCTACACATCGACATATGAACAAAAACTGTTCCAATACAATACATGGAAAAATAATTGAGAAAAGAAGACTCAGAAAACAATGGCAATTAACAAGATCACCTCAAAGTAAAACAAACCTTAATAAAGCACAAAAAGACCTAAAAAAATTGATAATGGCAGAAAAAAATGCAAGTTTTCAAGAATACCTACAAAAACTAGTTGCAACTCAAGCCACTGACTACTCGTTATGGAAGGCTACAAGGACTCTACGAAGGCAGAACTATACAGTCCCACCAGTAAGAACACAAACAGGACAATGGGCGAGAAGTCCACTAGAAAAAGCCGAAACATTTGCGACACACCTTAAAAAAGTCTTTACACCAAATGAGGGAAATTACTCACTACAAACTGAAGAAGAAATTATTTCGATACTCACAAAACCTTATCAACTAGAACTTCCCGAAAAAAGATCCACAAAAAATGAGGTAAAAAATATTATACAACACAACATCGATCCAAAAAAGACTCCAGGATACGACCTGATTACGGGAAAAACTCTTCAGCAACTCCCAGAGAAAGGCTTCCAATTTCTGACACAGTTATTCAACTCTATAATGAGATTAGGCCACTTCCCATCACAATGGAAACTAGCACAAATAACAATGATACTAAAACCAGGAAAAGAACCAGAAAGTGTACAGTCCTACCGTCCTATTAGTCTTCTTCCAGTGGTATCCAAAGTTTTTGAAAAGCTGACACTTACTAAGCTAATGCCTATACTAGAAAACAAAAAACTAATACCACCACACCAATTTGGGTTTATAAAACAGCATTCAACGATACAACAGGTACACAGAATTGTAGAGAGAATCAACGAGGACTTTGAAAATAATAGGTACTGCTCGGCGGTATTTCTGGACGTAAGTCAGGCATTTGATAAAGTCTGGCATAAAGGCTTATTATGTAAACTAAAACAAAATTTACCTACAAATTACTATATACTCTTAAAGTCCTATATCACCAACAGAAACTTCCAGGTAAAGTATGAGAATGAATACACAAACATACAACAAATTCTCGCTGGGGTGCCCCAAGGAAGTGTACTAGGACCTATATTATACCTTATATTTACTGCTGACCTACCGACAGAAACACACATAACTACAGCTACATTTGCGGATGATACGGCAATAATATCGTCGAACAAAAATCCCAAAATAGCCTCAGAAATCTTACAAAATAATCTAAATCAAATCCAACAATGGATGACAAAATGGAGAGTCAAAATTAATGAAAACAAATCGATACACCTAACATTTACCACGCGTAGGGAAACATGTCCGGCTGTTTACTTAAACGGTACAGGAATTCCACAAGGGGATGAAGTCAAATATCTAGGTATGTACTTGGACAGAAGATTAAACTGGAGGAAGCATATATTTACTAAGCGAAAACAACTGGGTCATAAGTTAAGAACCATATATTGGCTGTTGGGCAAAAAATCAAAACTATCAACCGAAAATAAAATATTAATCTACAAATCCATCCTAAAACCAGTGTGGACTTATGGGATAGAATTATGGGGAACCGCCGCACATTCCAACATTGAAATAATACAAAGATTCCAGTCCAAAACATTGAGATCAATACTAGGTGTTCCATGGTTCATAACCAATGAAGCCATTCATCGGGATGCCGGACTATCATATGTCAAAGATGACATCAAAAAGTGCGCGAAAAAACATAAAGAGAAACTTAAAGTGCACCCAAACGTGTTAGCAAAAAGTTTAGTGAATAAACCGCGTACTGTTCGTAGGCTAAAACGAAAAGTTCCGTTAGAGTTAAGTGAACAATAGGTTCTAAATTAATGTGTACAAGTCTATGTCAGAAATAGTCAGTGTTGTAGGCTAAGTTTTTAAAAAAAGGGGTGCTTCACTGGATGCCTCCCTGACATGTCAGTCCTATTACTTATTGTCTATTATCTACCTAAATATTTAGGTTTAGATTGTACAGATAGATTGTAATAAATGTGGGGTTAATAAAAAAAAAAAAAAAAAAAAAAAAAAAAAAAAAGTTGGTGATCTTGTTTGGCTTTATAATCCACAATGTCGTCGGGGCTTGTCTCCTAAACTGCAAAGACAATGGGAAGGTCCAGATAAAATTAAAAAGAGAATAAATGGCGTAATATACCGAATTAAGAAGTTGCCGAAAGATAAACCAAAAGTTGTTTACATAAATCGTCTTGCACCCTATGCTGGCTCAATAAAAATAAAATAAAAAGTCTCAATAAAAAGTTCGGTCGTTTGGATAAGTTAAAAAATAAACAGACTAAAGTTGGAACAGTATTAAAACTAGAAGATGGTCCTCGATCTTTGCTGTATATGGTGACCAGGAAGTCGTATACAGGCAAGGTAAGCTACGAGGATATATGGCGTGCTCTAACTAATTTGAAGAAAATCTTGTACAATTATAACATCAAGAATTTGGCCTCACCAAAGATAGGCCATGAACTAGAAAATCTGGATTGAAAGATTGTCAGAAGCATGCTTGAAGTGATCTTCCTATAAACCGGCGTACAATTTACTGTGTGTTGCATTAATCCGAAGAGATAGTATCCTTCAAAGACAGTAGACTATTCTTTCTTTCTGAGGGGTTTAATCCAAAGCTGTAGAGTCCTGTAGATTCCGCCCTTCATGTAAAGTTGCTGATCGGGAAGTTCAGATCTAAGAGAGGAGCAGTGTAACGAAATAGCTTAGATGTAACTCCAGATGATTCTGGAATAATACTTTTGATATATATATATATTATATATATATATATATATATATATATATATATATATATATATATATATAATATATATATATAATATTTGTAGTCTCAGCAATTGGTCTGTATGAAATGAAACTCTATTTGTTATTTCTCAATATTTCGTCACGATTTTGTGACTTCTTCAGGAGAAAACTGTAAATTTATTATAATTATTATATGTCAACAAAATGAATATTTCAATACATACTTACAACTTAAGATTAAAAATTTAAATTTTGATAACATATCCAATTTAAATAAATGACATTTTTTTGATTTTAATTAATTTGGGAGTTATGGTAACCGTTTAAACTTTTAATCAATTTTAAGTTGTAAGTATTGAAATATTCATTTTGTTTACATATAATGATTATAATAAATTTACAGTTTTCCTCCTGAAGAAGTCACAAAATCGTGACGAAATATTGAGAATTGTACAGAATTGTACATTATAATAAAACCAATAAATAAATCTTCTCTTCTCTAATTTTTGTAACTTTGAAAATGAACTCAAACTTGCGAACAATTGATAATTTAGTCATATAGTTTATTGAATCATATTTTAAAAATTCCAGCTCTTTTGGATAAGTTTTTTGTTCAGGGAAAGAATGTTATAATAAAATAATTATTGTACTTATATTGCTATTTATTTAGAAACATATCACAGATTCATTTACGTCAAAATAAAATAAAAGTATTTATATTGGAATTGTCATCTTACTTAAACGCAGTAAAAAGTCCAATAAATGCATCTGTACTTTAATCTCTGTTGGATTGGTTGTTACATAAAAACCAGGTACACCAGCTTTCTGTAAAATATCTTGTTGGTCTGAAACTTTTTGGTCCAACTGCAAAACTAGGTTCATGTCAAATGCTTTTAGTTCCTCTTTCTGCTCCAACATAAATTTCTGCAATTCTTGAATTTTTCGATCAGTGTCATGTTCATATTGTTTTAAAATTTCTTTTTCTTGATCTGTAATTAAATTATTAAAATTACAACTACACTACTCCAAGAAATTAACGCACCATTTACAAAAAAAAAGCGATTCATTGGTGTTTTAAATTTAATTGTATTCATTTTTGTATGGAATATACCATGTATTTGGAATGTTTTTATCAGGTTACTTGTATTGTTTTTTTGTTTCAACCGGTTTCTAAGGAACACAAAACAAAGGTGTTGTAAATTTGTTAATGTCGATAAGAGGTTAGTGTCATTTTTCAGTCGTTGTGTGAACTATTGCTGTTTGGTGGTAACATTTTGCTATTGTTTTAATCAAAATGCAACGCGAATCGAGAGATTTGACTAATGAGGAGTGTGCTCAAATAGTGGTTTTGCACGAAGAAGGTTGGAGTTACAGACATTTAGGGAACGATTCGGCGTATACCATACACCGGTCTCACGAATGATGGAACGGTACAGAGAGACCGGTAGCCATTCTAGGCGTCCAGGACAAGGTCGACATCGTGTAACAACGTCCGTTCAAGACCGTTTTTTACGACTTCGCACCCTAAGACAACGATTTGTAACTACCAGAAGCTTACAATCCCAATTTGAAGATGTTCATAATGTTCGAATCAGCTGTGAAACTGTTCGCCAACGTCTCAAGGAAGGTAATTTGGTAAATCATATACCTGCCAGAGGGCCAGCCTTGATCGTAGCTCATCGCAGAGCGCGTTTAGAATTTGCACGAAATTATATCCATTGGTTGAAGGCTAATTGGAATAGAGTTTTGTTTACAGATCAGAGCAGATTCTGTCTTTACAACTGTGATAGGAGTATTCGCGTGTAACGACGTCAGAACGAACGGTATGCATAGTGTAACAGGCGATGAACGACGTTATTCGGTAGAGGGTCGGTTATGGTCTGGGGTGGCGTTTCTTTAACGGTCGTACAGAGTTGGTGGTGTTGAATAACGGTACCATCAACTCTCACCGATATATCGTTGACGTTCTTCAAGACCACGTTGTGCCATTTGCTCCTTATATTGGCGAACATTTTGTTCTAATGCACGATAATGCACGACCGCACGTTGCAAAAATAGTGCAAAATTATCTAGAGGAAGTTGGAATCGACGTTATGGAATAGCCAGTGAATAGGGCCGATCTCAATCCTATAAAGAATGTTTGGGACTTGCTTGGTAGACGTCTACGGAATTTTCCTAATCAATCAAACACTCTGCAGGAACTGGAACAACGTCTTGTCCAAATTTGGAATGAACTGGATCAGAATACTTTAAGGCCGTTTATTTTATGAATCGTCGATGCCAAGCTGTCATTCACAGCAAGGGTGAAAATACGTCTTATTAAGCAAAAAAAAATTGAACAATTTCTATTTTTCGAATTAGATATTTTGTTGTTAATTGTTTTAAGATTGTGTTACGTTTATGAATATTGAAGATGGTTAGCGACAACATCACTAAATATGTTTGATTTACAAAGTAAAGTAATACGAAATAAAATGCTTTTCGTTTCAGTTAATATTTTCCTGTTATATGGTACGTTTTAAAGTGGTGCGTTAATTTCTTGGAGCAGTGTACATTAAAAAGTAACCAAAATTAACGGTATATTTTTGTTATGTGTATATGTGTAAACACAAAGATTTCTTATTTTCTTTTTTGAAGAAAGTTTATTTTTCAGAAAGTCACGGCCACTAATTATATCCACATATATTTTTTATAAATACTAGGTGTGCCAGTATTATGATGTGTTTTTTCCCATAAGATTTATGTCACATATACAATTATTACAACTTAAATGGGAAATCACATTCCAGCCTTATATATTTCTAATTTAGTCTATTATCTTTAACTAGTAAATTTTCCCGTCGCATGAGACGGGGATCCATCCCATCAATTGTCATCTAGTCAGTCATTAAATTTTTAAAATAATAAACTTTTTGCATATAATCCAAGTAAATATAAAGTATGATCTGGTGTACTTCTGACTAATATATATATATATATATTATATATATATATATATATATATATATATATATATATATATGAAATACTGGATATTAGTGGCTGTCGATATAAAACTAGTTTAGGACATCTTTTATTGGTGTGTTTTCACTCTGATACATATAAAACAGAAAGAAAAAACAATATGATTAAAATGTAATTAGGTGTTCTTAATATTATTTCTTTTCAAGAACCAAGAGGGCCATCTTGGGTAATTTTACTTTTTAATTTTTTAATGTCTTAATGGTATGCAACATGTTATGCATATACAGTATAGGTAAAAGTTTATGGTCGGTATGTACAGTTGCGGTCACGGAATAGTTTACAGGTTCACGTATCTAGGAGCCCATTTTTTAAATTTTTACTTCGTTTAAACGCACCTTTTACGTCAAAGTGACGTTGCCAGTGGTGTACTAGCTAGAATAGGTAGATTAAAATTAAAATATCAAAATATTTTACAAAATGAAAAATATAGAAAACAGTTTTTTGAATAAAATGGATTATGATCTTAATAACGAAAATAAAGAAGTCTTTTTTTTTAATATGCATTTTATTTTAAATCTATTTTATATTAAATAACGATAAACAAATGATAAATAATAATTAATATTTGGTGGAAGCCCCATTCTTGTCAATACAATTTTGCAGTCTTCTGTTCATAGATAGCACCAATCCCCTCATGTTATAGTTAACAAGCTCTTCCCATGCCTGCTCAATTGCTTCCCATAATTCAATTCTATTCCGTGGTCTAAGGTTTCTTTCATTTAGTTTCTTTGTTAACTCTGCCACACATTTTCGACGGGGTTAAAGTCTGCACTACGGGAAGGCCACGGAAGAACATTAACATCAGTTTCTTCTAGCCATTCTCGAACAATTCTACTCGTATGCACCGGGCAATTGTCATGTTGGAAGATAAAGTCGTTGTTGGGGAATCTCTGGATCACCGATGGCAACATTGTGTGCTCAATAATATGTTTGTAATATAATCCTGTTAACTTCTCCTCTACATGATAACAAACGCCCGGGGCTTCGGCACTTATCCATCCCCATACGTTGACAGAGAATCCTCCACTATTTCTTAAATGATGCGTATACTGTTCATCATACCTATGATTTCTCGGCCTATAAACTCTTATTCGACCATTATTATACGACTGAAATACTTTTTCATCGGAAAATACAACCCTAGACCAAAAAATTCTCATCGCGGTTTATAAATTCATTACAAAATTCAACTCGTCTCCTCTTGTGATCCTCACTCAAAAAAGGTTTCCGTGCAGCTACACAATTTAGCAGTCCACTTGCTTTAATTCTTCGACGTGCAGTGCGAATACTGCTTGGAAACGCTGCCTCTTCTCTTGCCTTTTGAGCTGTGGCAAAAGGAGATTCTCTCAAATAATCACTAACATCTCATCCTGTTGATCTGTGGAAATCTTCTGCCCTCCTGAACCGCCCAACCGTGCTATAGAGTGAAAATTATCCCATCTTTGTTTAATCTTCCATATGCACATATGACTCACGTTCAAATCAGCGGCAACTTGCCTTAGTGACCAACCTTCTTCGAGTTTGGCAATTGCTCTTGCTTTTTGCGCATAATTCAAATGTATTCTAACCATTTTGGAAGAGTTTAATATACTTTTATTTTATTGTTGAACACTCGCGAAAGCATTGACGTTTTGAAATTTTTTGACTTTGACATTTATCAAATCCGTACGACACTACAATTTTACAGTATTACAATATAAAAAGTAAGGTGTAAACTATTCCGTGACCGCAACTGTACCTTACGTGAGATTGAGTGAGAAACACCTTTTAAAAAGAAAGAGGCATATTAGATCCGCCCTTTATATCGTCGAAATAGCTTTAGCGGAACTAAGAAAAGAGGAGAAGTTCAACATTGTCAAACTTATTGGTTTTATTTGACCTGTTGTCTTTTTAGCATTTTAACAACGTTTTAATATAATCAAATTTGGGCGAATTGATTTAAATGACAGCTTACTGTTTTTTATTTTAAATATGCCACAATTTTCCTCTACAATAAGTTTAATTTAACATTTTGATTTCCACTTCGGAAATCGTTTTATATAAATAAAATTGATTAATGATTAAAATTTTAAGTACGATTTCCGAATTAGAAATCTAAACATCAAAATAAGCTTATTTTTAAAGTCATATTGTGCCTCATTCGCAATAAAAATAATAAAATGCAATATAACACCACAATAAAAAACCTTCTTTCATAATTATTTGGCAACGTCGAGCTTTTAATAAGGACTCCGAACTACGAAACGAACTGTGTTCGTAGTTCTCTGACGTAACGAGAAAAACAGAGATGAGAACTCTTTCGTAAAAGTAACAAGTTGAAAACTAATTAAAATATTTAATCGAGTACATAAACAAACATGAATAAAAAAAATATACTGAAATACTTTCAACGGATTTTCAAATTTGCTGTAGTTGATTTATAACTAAGTTTTTCTTTGCAAAATTTGCAGACAGCCTTCTCACTGTTAATGTCTTTCTCAAAGTGATGCCATAAAATACTAATATCTTTACGCGCAGACATGTTAAACACACAATTAGTTAATAAAGTAAATATTTATTTAGCACGCACAGAATAAATTCGCATTTACGTTAAACAAAACACTCTCACACAACTCCAAATAAAAATTTAGTTTGCTGAATAATATAAAACGTGAATCGGGGGCTCCCATGTGTTAATATTTCAAATCAAAAATAATCGATCATTGTAAAATTCAGAAAGTCGAGCATAAAAGCTGCATCTTCTACAAATGTGCATTTTTTGAAAATACAATTATTACGCTTGTACTAGGTAAATGATTTTAACTAAGAAAAAGACTTCTTAATTCAATATTTACAATAAATAAATCCTTTAACGAACTATCAATAAAGATTTCAACTTCAGAACAACATCTGGCTTCCCAGTGAGAAAACGTAGATTCTTTAACGACAAATAAGCGGTTAAATAAAACAGTTCGGTGATTCAACG